GATCTAGTAATATATCAGTTACTTTTCGTGGTAATGTATTATATTAGATAATATCATTTAAAGTATTAAAGGTTTAAATTATTAGGTTACATTATTAGATAATCATTTTAATTTAGAATGGTACAAATTTTTGTGGTCAATTTTCAAAGGATGATATTCATTGGGTTTTTTATTTTGTGGTTAGATAATCGTTTTAATTTTGATAGGTTCAATTTTTGTAGTTTTCATTTACTTTTCGTGGTACATAACATAGAAAATAACATAATGTATATTCATGTTTAGAAAGATTCAAATTTTTGGGGTTAATTTCAAAGGTTTAAATTTTTTGGGTTTTTTAATTTGCGAGATTTACTTTTCGTGGTACATAACATAGAAAATAACATAATTATATTCATGTTTAGAAAGATTCAAATTTTTGGGGTTAATTTCAAAGGTTTAAATTTGTTGGGTTTTCTAATTTGCGATCTTTCTTTGGCCGAGCAATGTTTATATGTGTCCCATTCAATTCCCAACACTTTAGGAAATGTGTATAATCTTTGAATATTTCTCCATGTTGTTTGAGTTTCTCTATGAGTAGGCCATCTGATAAAATTATTTCGAATGCTGAATATTACACGAAGTACTCTCTTGACACTAAACCATGCAGTTGATCTTGCAACACCAAATCTTTCGCATATAGAGCGATAAGAGTCTGGTGTTGCCAAAACGTAAATGGCTATTAATAACTGTTTTTCTACACTAATTTGTTCTCTTCCTTTAAATGAAAGATTTTCCAATTTTGGTCCAATCAAAAACAATAAGAAATGGAAAGTATTACGCTCCATCCTATAATAAATAATATTACGTTTACATAAATGTTTTATATTAATTAATGATGTAATTATAATGAAGTGTTATGACTAACCTGAAATGTAATTTAAATTCAATATTTGTATATCTTGCAACATGTTCAAGATAATTGTTTATTTTTGGTATTACTCTCCTTTTATCGTTATTATTATTGAATAAAATATTTTGTAATTCCTCATCATTGTTATCGCTGTCACTAGAAGAGGAACTAGAAGAGGATTCAAACATAATATTTTTGAATAAGATATATTCTTCCATAATAACAATGCTGATTGCTATTGTAAGATATTCTAGACTTCACTGACTTTTTGTCCTTTCATCTTTGTTTAATAGTTGTTTAATAATGCAAAAGTCTGTAAATATGGTATATGTATATGTATTAGGGTGTCCGTTATTTTGGCGATTTTTGAAATTTGTACGGGACCACCCCTAACTTTTTAGTAAAAAAAATAACAAAAATTTTGGCGCTAATAAAAAGTTCCTACGATGATTCTAAGTGGAATCATCGATGTTGAAAATTAACCCGTAAATCTTATGGGAAAAAACATTTTTTTAGTATTTCTTCGGGCATTTCCACCGCAGTCAGTCTAAAAATCCAGCAAGTGAGATATCTTTTCTTGAATGGTTTCCACCTGAAATGAGCCTAGGCGGAACAAAATCGATCAATTTCCGGCCGAGTTATTCCACTTTGAACTTCAATAATTTTTCACCCAAAAAATGAGAAGAGCCTAAAATCTCTCAATAAAATTACAGTAGCTCTGTTAGAATGCATTTTAAAATCATGAACCATTGAATTTCACATTCCTTATAGTTTTGCGATTAAAATTACCCCCTTACAAGTTAAAAACGATAATTTGTAGCCGAATTACCGCAGTTTTTATGAAGTTTTTTTTACTAAAATCAGGTGAAGGAAATGAAGGTTTAGTTTATTCGCTATAACTCGAGAGAAAAAAATTGAAAAAAAATTTCTGGACGCCATACGGTCCCTTTAATATTGCTCTTCTTTGAACGCGAGAAATCTGCAAGCTGATAAATATCTTTCTTATTAATTGTCCCGTGCACTTTTCGTTACCAGCAATTTTTTTTATTTCAAATTTGGCAATTTTATGTTGTTTGTGATATTAATTCTTTGATATGACAAAAAATTTCGAAATTGAAAATTGTGAATTACATTAAATAATCTTAATTTGTTGCTAATTAAGTAATCGTAATTTAATCTTAATTGTTATAATAAGAAAGATATTTATCAGCTTGCAGATTTCTCGCGTTCGAAGAAGAGCAATATTAAAGGGACAGTATGGCGTCCAGAAATTTTTTTTTAATGACGACAGGTATGGCTTTCAAAAGGAAAAAACGTAAGGAATATGATCGTATTTCGTGCAATAACTTACGATTTTTTTCTCTCGAGTTATAGCGAATAAATTAAACCTTCATTTCCTTCACCTGATTTTAGTAAAAAAAAACTTCTTCATAAAAACTGCGGTAATTCGGCTACAAATTATCGTTTTTAACTTGTAAGGTGGTCATTTTAATCGCAAAACTATAAGGAATGTGAAATTCAATGGTTCATGATTTTAAAATGCATTCTAACAGAGCTACTGTAATTTTATTGAGAGATTTTAGGCTCTTCTCATTTTTTGGGTGAAAAATTATTGAAGTTCAAAGTGGAATAACTCGGCCGGAAATTGATCGATTTTGTTCCGCCTAGGCTCATTTCACGTGGAAAACATTCAAGAAAAGATATCTCACTTGCTGGATTTTTAGACTGACTGCGGTGGAAATGCCCGAAGAAATACTAAAAAAATGTTTTTTCCCATAAGATTTACGGGTTAATTTTCAACATCGATGAGCCTCCACTTAGAATCGTCGTAGGAACTTTTTATTAGCGCCAAAATTTTTGTTATTTTTTTTACTAAAAAGTTAGGGGGATCCCGTACAAATTTCGAAAATCGCCAAAATAACGGACACCCTAATATGTATAATACGTTATAATAGAAAAGATGGCACATCAAAACTTTCTTTTAATATTCAGAGTATGCATAAAAAAAAAGAGGTTAGAATTAAAGATTGTATTCTTTGTATATAATTTTGATTACAATTAATATCAACATCTCTACGAGTTACAAACAAAAAACGTGTTATAATTACGAAAACATTTAATGACTACTTACGTAAATCCTGTAACACCTCGTATAACTTTCTTCTCTACTTTTATATTCCGTTACTTTTGACTTGCTTTGAGTTTGGTCTCCCAACAGTCCCAGCGGGAGAAACGAAACGCAGCGTTGGAAATTTTCAATACTGCCAACTTTATTTTTTTAACCATCACAAACCAAACCTATTTTCGAACGCACCCAATGTATACATTGGCCACATTGGACATGTTGCAAACATTGCAATCATTGTTTACATTGGACACAATGGACACATCGGAAACATCGTCCACATTGTCCGCATTGGATACATTGGACACATTGTCTACATTGGATACATTGTCCACATTGTCCACATTGGACACATTGTCTACATTGGACAATTGTTCACATAGGACACATTGGACACATTGTCCACATTGGACACATTGTCCACCTTATCCACATTGGACACATTGTCCACATTGTCCACATTGGACACATTGGACACATTTGACACATTGGACACATTGTCCGCATTGTCCACATTAGATACATTGGACACATTGTCTACATCGGACACATTGTCCACATTGGACACATTGTCCACATCGGACACATTGTCCACATTGGACACATTGGACACATTGTCCACGTTGGACACATTGGACACATTGTCCGTATTGGACACATTGGACACATTGTCCACATTGGACACATTCTCCACATTGTCCTCATTGGACACATTGTCCACATTGGACACATTATCCAAATTGTCCACATTGGTCACATTATCCACATTGGACACATTGTCCACGTTGGACACATTGGACACATTGGACACATTGTCCGTATTGGACACATTGTCTACATTGGACACATTGTCCAAATTGTCCACATTGGTCACATTGTCCACATTGGATACTTTGTCCACATTGTCCACACTGTCCACATTGTAAACATTGGACACATCGTCCACATTGTCCACATTGGACACATTGTCCACATTGGACACATTGTCCACCTTATCCACATTGGACTCATTGTCCACATTGTCCACATTGGACACATTGGACACATTGTCCACATTGGACACATTGGACACATTGTCTACATTGGACACATTGACCACAATGTCCATATTGGGCACATTGTCCACATTGGACACATTGTCCACGTTGGACACATTGGACACATTGTCCACGTTGGACACATTGGACACATTGTCCACAATGTCCATATTGGACACAATGTCCACATTGGACACATTGGACACATTGTCCACTTTGGACACATTGGACACATTGGTCACATTGTCCACATTGGACACATTGTCCACATTGGACACATTGTCCACATTGGACACATTGTCCACATTTTCCGCATTGAGCACATTGGACTCATCGTCCACATTGGACACATTGTCCACATTAGACACATCGGACACATTGTCCACATTGGACACGTTGCAAACATTGGACTCATTGTTCACATTGGACACATTGTCCACATGGGACACATTGTCCACATTGGACACATTGTCCACATTGGACAAAATGGACACAATGGACACATCGACCACATTGTCCAAATTGGACACATTGGTCTCATTGTTGTCACATACTCAGACACACGCAACACGAAATTCGACACCCAAATTTAACATGCAAATACCCCAATCAATTTTAAAACTTTCTTCTTCCAACACGTATAATTTGTCAACACATGTCTGTCACGAAACTTGTAATTACAACTAATCACTCGCGACCGCGAAGACTACAAACCATTAACCACGTGTATACTAACACCTGATTTCAAGGCCTAACACTTTGGATCACCCCTGATTTCAAAGCTAACAACTTGTCGTACGATTCCATGCACAATTTTTTTCATGCTTATGCAGCATAACATACTGACACCTCATTGACTCATGTCAGCCGCCATTTCATGGCAGCTATATTATAAGTTATATTATATCACGTAATTATATTATAAATATATGTAAGATGAAAATAATCAAGGACTCTTAGTATAACAATAATAAATAAATAACAAGGGCGATGTAAGAGTCAAAATATAAATTCATTTAGTGTAATGTTAAAAATCCAAGCAATAAAATAAAATAAAATTTAATTATAAAAACTATAAAAATAAAAATATAATTATGAAGAATTATTTAAATTTACTTACAATTAGTATAAATTAACTTAGCGCTACTAGTTTCGAAGCTATTCCTAAAGCTGAGAGTTATATCAAAAACAGTTTTCAGCTTGTTGAAAAACTAAAAACAATAAAAACTTTACCACATCATAAATTGATTTCGTTAGATGTAATATCTTTTTACGAATGTTCCAACAGACATGGCCATAGATTGTATAAACGAACATTGGAATTTTATTTCGATGAATTGTTCATTGCCAAAGAATGAATTGTTAGAGTCAGTTAAATTCATATTAGATTCTTCTTATTTTTTATTTAATCAGAAGATTTACAAACAATGTTTCGGTACACCCATGGGCTCTCCACTGTCACCCATCGTGGCAGATTTAGTAATGAGAAGACTGGAAACGATGTCCTTGATGTCATGTAATTTGGATATTTTATTTTATTTTAGATATGTAGATGATATTTGTACTGCAGTATTACCGGAGGAAATAGACTCTTTACTACAAACGTTTAACTCCTTTCATTCGCGACTTCAATTCACACTGGAAATCGGTGACAAAAAATTAGATTTTTTAGACACTTCGATTTCAATAATTGACAATCATTTTATATTTGACTGGTACCGCAAGCCTACGTTTTCAGGAAGATTTCTCAACTTTTTTTCAAATCATCCTGTTTCTCAAAAGAAAGGTACAATTTTTTCGTTGGTTGATAGAGTTTTTTTACTTTCTGACTTGAGTTTTCATACAAAGAATCTAAATTTTATCATTAACATTTTATTAAACAATGACTATCCCTTATCTTTTATTTTTGACACAATCAACCAACGACTAAGTTACCTGAACAAGAATAAAAGTAGAAATAATCATACATCAAATCAAGTTACCACTAACAATGATGATGTTAATAAAAAAACGCCTACTTGGCTGACGGTACCATTTATTCCTTTGCATACAGAAAAATTTAAACGTTTTCATAATAATGACATCAGAGTTTCGTTCCACAGTCCTAACAAAATGCGTAAATATATCAAAGTTCAAAAAGATGTACGTCCACATACTTCGAGAAATAATGTTGTTTATAAGATCCAGTGTAATGATTGTGATGCGTCGTACGTCGGACAGACAAGCAGACAATTAAAAACTAGAATTGCAGAACATCGCAATCACATTAGATATAACACTTCTACCCGTTCCGTTATAACAGAGCATAGACTTAATTATGATCATGATTTTCAATGGAACAACATTAAAATTTTGGATGAAGAACCTTTTTACAGAAAGCGCATAATATCTGAAATGCTTCATATTAAAAAACAGAATAATAGTCTTAATTTACAAACAGATACCGAAGGTCTTCATGAGGCTTATGTACCCATTGTAAATAAAGTTTGACTTTCTAATATTGATATCTGTTGATCGTCTTCAGTCTGCATCTGTTATTTAAAGTTAGCGGTTGTCTCACACATTTGTTGCAATGTTGCAGACTTTTGTTAACCATCTTTTATTATATCTGATTTATATAATTTTTTACAATGTCGACACACAAAAATTTTAATTTAATTTTATTACCGTTGGATTTTCCTGGTGAGTTTTCATATAGAAAATTTGACATCATTTGTAACACCTATAAAGGAAGTTTTTTATTACCATCTCTTAGATTTATAATTGTACATCGACTTTCTAATCATGTATATCATGACGTCGGTTTTTTTTGATGGAGACTCACGGAAGTGGATTAAGATTGTACAAGCGTATCTCTGCGATTTCTGCGATTGATTTTGTCCATGATTGTTTATTACGTCTGAGTAGGGCTCAATCCTGGAGCCGAAACTAGTAGCGCTAAGTTAATTTATATTAATTTTAAGTAAATTTAAGTAATTCTTCATAATTATATTTTTATTTTTATAGTTTTTATAATTAAATTTTATTTTATTTTATTACTTGGATTTTTAACATTACATATAAATGAATTTATATTTTGACTCTTACATCGCCCTTGTTATTTATTTATTAATAAATATATGTAATATTACAAGGGAAGCTCATATAGGAGCCTCTCGATAGAACCACAACACGTGTTCAACGACTTTTAACAATATTATAAGATTTAGGGCCCTATTCTGTAAGCCTTAACAACGTCGCTATTAAACGATTGTCATTAGTGTACTACTTTTCCTATTCTGTAAGTACTAACTGTCATTCATTAATCACAAAATGGCGACAAATTTGTCGTAGACTTAACAACAGCTAAAAAGGTGTTGTTAAGAGAAATGATATCGTTAAAAGTTGAATCTAACCTATTTTGAATGCTTTCCATTTGATGGCACAAGTCGACACAATTAGTGTCGTTCTATCTTTATCACTTTCTGATTTATAAAAAATGAACGCAGAATTAATTGAAGTTATAGAGCGTGAGTTAGAAAATCAGTGAGTATTAATACATGTTTATATAATTATGTCATAATTAAATAGAAAAGAGATAAAAATTTTTAATTAAAATCCCATGGTGAAAATTATTCTCAATTTTTATTCTAATTGGAATATTTTTCAGAAATATTAAAAAATCAATATTTGGTAATTATTTAGAATACGGTCCTCACCTCCGATCTTGATCTAATTAAGCTCATTCGACGCGTTTTCATTCAAAATGAAAAAAATCCAAATGAAATATGTGGCGGTCGATCTCGTGAACCGAGATATTAAGCGTTAAAGTTCGAAATTTTAGAGGTTAAGATATATGTCATTTCTTCTCGTTGCAGCGCTATGGCTGGATTCACTTAGACTTTCGTCGTACGACGACTCTGCAAACAATTAATCAGAAAAATCGTATCATTGATACGGAGCAAAATTTTGTTTTCTGATTGGTTGCAGAGTCGTCGTACGACGAAAATCGGATGTAGTGTGAAGCCAACATATGTATATGTAAGGTCTGTTCTTTTTCATAGAATTCTGAATTAGTTCTGAAATAGTGCAATAAGTTAGAGTGAAACAAACTACAGCTATCTCACTCTAATAGTTGGTCTATAAGAATTGACCAATCATAATTGAATATTCTTCTCTCATTTGACTGTGATTGATGAATTTTTACAGATTACGGAAAAAATTAACAGATTACGGCTATTATAAACCCTAACTTATTGCACCAGTGTACTCCAGTTCAAAATTTGGAAGAAAATGAACTAGACCCGTATTTTAGTTTGGGAAAGTTTCGTTGGCGCACTGTGTGTGCCGCGATATTCGAGATTTAAATTAAGTGGAGTAATATGGCATTGTTGTATCGCCGTAATAGTCCCTACAATATCAATAATGCTGTTTTGTGCATTTATAGAATTAATTGGTCATAGAGATCAATTAATTGATTTTTTAATTCAACATGGTGTGTTGCCGTCAATAATTAATTGTGAGAAATGTGAAAATAAAATACATATTAATAAAGAAACATTAATTGCCTACTGCCGGAAAAGATATTATTTAACAAGTGAATCAAATAAAAAGAAACGCGTTTACAAACAGTGTAATTTCAAGAAAAGTGCAAAAATAGGGACTTGGTTTAATCGTAGTAAACTAAGTGTTGAAAAAATCTGCACAATTGTAGCATTTTTTCTAATGTTACGTCCTCCTCGACAAGAAGATCTTGAAGAGGAGTTCTGTATTTCTTCCGTCACAGTCGTAGATTGGTTCAATTTTTGTCGCGAGGTAATATAATTTAATATTGTGTATTATAACGATATTTAATATTATTAAGAAAAATATTTCATACATTAACAGGTCTGTGTGTACTGGGCCGACAAACATAGTAGCAAACTTGGAGGTCCAGGATGCACTGTTAAAATAGATGAGGCGAAAATTGGTCATCGCAAATATAATCGTGGCCGGCTTTTAAAAGGCAATTGGATATTTGGAGGATTCGAGCGAGAGTCAAAGAAAATTTTTATTATGCCAGTAGAGAATCGATCGGAAGAAACCCTCCTAGCATGTATCAAATATTGGATCATGCCAGGAACAACAATAATTTCAGATTGTTGGAAGTCCTATCAATGTTTGAACAATGAAGGCTTCCAACATTTAACTGTAAATCATACATATAATTTCGTCGATCCAGATAGTGGTAAAAAGAAAAATTATTTTAAATATAAAAAAAATCATTGAAAGATTTTTTATGATACATTTATTCAAATTCAATAAAGTGTATGTTATAATTAAAATATTTTTTATTTACAGGCGCCCATACACAAAACATTGAGCGTGTTTGGAGAGAAGTTCGTGCAAATATCCCAAGATATGGAAGGCGAGAGTATCATTTAGAAAGATATTTGTGCGAATTTCTATTTAAACGCGCTTATGCTAAAAAAGACAGAATTGAAAATTTCTTTGACTTAATCGCCGAACTGTATCCTCCATTATCCGTGACGGAAGAAACATGAGTTTCAAATTTAATGTTTATAATATTTAATTATTAATTTTTAATATTTAATTTATAAGTTTATTAATTAATATCTAAAAAATATAATCAGGAGACGCGGTAGCGTCTCCGGCCATGTTCAAAAACTGTGAGACGCTACAAGTCTCTTATCCCGAGCCATCAAAGTCCATTTTTGGGAGGTGCATAACTATTAAAATATAAAAAATTGTGAATCAAACGTTATATGTCCTGAAAGGGGGCATCACCACACTCGTGATGATTACTCAATTTGAGCCTAAAAAATTTTAAATCGGTCAAGCCGTTCTGGAGATATAAGCGGTCAAAAAGTGGTAA